TTTAATGAACAATATCGTAAGTCCATTTTCATGTTTCTATTTATTATATTTATATCAGGGTTGAGAATGTCTCTTTCAAGTGACCCACCAGACAGAGAAGTCAGTTATCTGTTCATTTAAATCAATGAAAAAAATCTCATTGTAATTAAAAGCAGAAATCCCAATAAAACAGCTGCATCACACTCAAGCTCCTGTCACAGTCAAAGACTGACACTTAAAAGCTTGCTGTACTATGTCAGAGGGAGACTGGGTATATTAAAACAACACATGGTGTTACTTTTATTGTTATATGCTGTCACCCCTCATACGCATGTTATTAAACTGTGACAAGGACACTGTGGTGTAAACCAGCCCCCTCATTCTAACCGTAGATCAGTACGAGTACAGTTGGTGGTTTGAATTCTCATACTTAAGAGTCTGTTAAATGCCACGCAGGCTTGTCACAGTTATGCAAAAACAATGATCCGCCCCAGCTTGAAGGGCAAGGTAATAAAAAAAAAGAAAACGAAACACAGCATATTTTTGTTCCACCTCCGTGATGACGTGTGTACACAGGATGGTTAACTACGATAAATTGGCCCGAAATTGGCCAATGAGTTCAGACGCACTTGTAATGTGGCTTAAATTGCATGCCCTTTCAGGCAGGGGAACAAACCTCCTCAATGTCAGCGTTCTCTCCCACATGTTGAGTGCTTAGTTTGCCATGCAGTACAGGATCTCCAGGCCTGTTTAGTATTCACCCACTTGAATTTCCTAAAGGTTACCAAACCTAATTAGACATTTATGCAGGATCTTCAAAGGTCCCTCCGTTATTAATGATGTGCTACTTCTGAGGACTGCATCGATGGCTTTTTTTCTGACTCGGAGAGCGCACGCCTCACAATATGTGCATACACAATGGAGACACGCAGCCATCCAAAATGCAAGAAGAGACTTTTAACTGTTGCAGTGTTAAAGTGGCCCAGTGTTTTTGACAAATGTTGCGATTCAAAGTTAGCTTATTTTTTTCCATAAAATGCTCTCATTTAAACATTTGATATGTTTTCAGCATTTATGAGATTTGCAAGTTGTTACATTCTGTTTTTAGTTACATTTTACGCAGTAACCCAACTTTTTTGGCATTGGGGTTGCACATTAACACAATGACATCACACATTGTCCAATTTAGTTTTATCTGACCGTGGTTGAAGAATTCACATCATGCTCTCACACCAGGAATGTCAAGTGCAGTTCTCCAATCCGGAATTCATTTCCACACCCACATTAGTCTTTGTGTTTGTACTCACTGTTATTGCTTTTACACACACTTCACTACTAACAACATCTTACTATTGTGTTGGTGTATTTCTCATCTGAATCGGCTCTACAACATCAACATCAGTTTTACCCTAGTACTGTTGCCCTTCACTTGAAATTAAATAGAGACACATGTTCTCAGAATCTGAATACTTGAAACAAATAGAAACACAGGTGCACATCCTGACACTGTCATAATTACACAAGCATACACTATACATGTAGGCAGCATAGCTTTACTGTACTACACAGTAGCTGGTGTTATGGTCAAAGTCTTTGTTTCTGTTTTCTGATGTGTGTCAGGAATGATTTGTGACAGACGAATAGCAGAAAGACAGAAAGGGAAGGTTTACAAGATGATAGTGAGACCTGCTGTGATGTATTGTTTGGAGATGGTGGCATTGACAAAAAAGGCGAAGAAGTATAGGTAGAGGTGGCACAGTTGAACATGGTAAGATTTTCATTGGGAGGAACAAGGATGGACAGGATTAGAAACGAGTATATCAGAGGAAAAGCTTGGGTTGAGCAGTTTGGAGATAAAGTTAGAGAGGTAAGATTGAGAGTGTTTGGAAATGTGAAGAGAAGGAATAGCGGCTATAATAGCTCCTGGCAGGCAGGAGGAAAAGAGAAAGACCACAGAGAAGGTAAATAGATGTAGTGAAGGACGACAGGTTTGGTATGACAGAAGAGGATGCTAGGGATAGAGTGAGACTGTGGCATATGGTCTGCTGTGGTGACCTCTAAAGGAATCAGCCACATGAAGAAGAAGATAGTATTACTTTGTGTCTGAACACTTTTTGTCCTACACTAGGCCACACTGCTTGCAGCACCCTTTCAAAGTCAGTAAGTATGAAACTGTTTGGTGTTTAAGTCTTAGAACCATGATGGAAGTATTTTGAATTTACTGGTCACAGAGTTGAAGTGACCAACTGACATTGCATGTTTTGACATAGGTGAAAAATGTGATTTGCAAAAGCATGTGCTTTGAGAATTGAACTGTGTTAAGAGTCGTGAGAATGATGTGCCTAATAGTAGAACTGCAACAAAGGATTTGGGTAAAATCATGACTATAAGTGCCAATAATGCAATTTAATAACAATACAAAAAAGCACCTCTCTCTGTAAGACACTCTATAATATTTTACAGATTGTGTATAATAGCAGTAAAACTATTCAAAAACTATTCAAGTAAAGGACTAAAAAAAGACTAAACATTAATTTCTCACAATTTAGAGGCTGGAACTTTATATTAGAGCTCATCAGCTCATCAGCTGTCACGTCTAATTTGTTTACCTTTATTAAAACTAAGTATATCATTTATGCACACTAGTGGGAGGGCAGTGTAGTTCTTTCATTTATTAATACTACAACAACTGACAGTCTAACTTAGGATATAAAGTGAGACAAAACTGCTTTTAATGGGATAGCTTGATTTTGGCATTCCCCTCAGAAAGAATAAAACGATCCTCCAAAGGAGTAAAGCCAATCTTGGCTCAGTGTCAAAATTAAAATGCTTCCTTCAGAAAAACAGGACCCTGGTCCATCATTTTCCCATGACCAGAATGTGAAATTACTTTATAAAGAATGCGAAACAAAGCCAGGAGACACCTCCAACCTCTCTTAGCCATTTAAAATAATTAACTAAATCTAATGCAGGGATTAGTCCAACATTATGCGCCCGTGTTTGCATCCACTCTTAGTAATGCATTAGGTAACTGTAGTTGACAAGACAACCTAAATAAAACTCAGTTTACATTTATTATTTACATTCAGACTTTAATCAATTATGAATGATGGCTAATTAGTGGTGCGCAGGGGTCATCGCTCTTTGCAGTGTCAGAGTCTGCTAAATGTACTGTATGTCACGGAGTGCGGACATTGACAAAAAACCTCTCACCACTTTACAGATTTAGGTGTCTTTCTTCTGAGGAGACTTCACTAATCATCTGTGAAAGTGTGTGCACTGTGCACGCGTGCTCGCGCGCGCCCACTTGTGTGTGTGGGAATGTGCCCGTGCGCGCGTTTGATAATAATAAGGCAAGTGAAAATGAAGAGGAGCTAAACTGTGTAAGTCATTTCTCATTTCCCTGCTTCAGTGCCTGTCAGCAGAAAGCCTTGCATTTTGAATGATGGCTCAGACAACAAAAAGTGAACAACAAACCCTTTGGCTCCAAGGAGGGAAATGGAGGGAGACAAAGAAAGAAAGAGGAAAGAAAGAAAGAAAGAAAGAAAGAAAGAAAGAAAGAAAGAAAGAAAGAAAGAAAGAAAGAAAGAAAGAAAGAAAGAAAGAAAGAAAGAAAGAAAGAAAGAAAGAAACAAAATGCACACAAGAAAAAAGAGACAAATGCACAGTTTCTAAAAAATGACCAAACAAACAAACAAAGCAAAATCCCAATATCAATGCTTTGATAAAACCACTGAACATGCCCTGAAAGTGAAACATAATAGAGAGAAAAAAATTACCTATACAGTTGGCACTCATACAGTTTTAGAAGGACCTTTCAAGGGGCTGATTTAATGTGAGAGCATCAATCCTTTAGCAGCACCGGGTCTTGACAGCAAGTGAAAGTAATCTCTTCTTTATTAATGGGACTTTTCACTTTGGACCCGAGGCCTTTGGTATTCCATAATAGTAGTTTCATACTACAGACCAAAGGAAAGAACAATATGAAATCTGATCAAGTGGATGTGTTATGAATGATAAGTGTATTTCTTTGTAAATTCAGCCGAGTCTTTCAAAGAAATACAAAAAAAAAAGGAATGTAAGCAGCTAAAGTAGCAAAATAGATTATACACTGCTTATTTTCATGTAATCAAAAAGTGTTGAGCCTCCTTGAACACATTATTTGGCTGAAAAATAAATATAAACCATGTAGCCATGCAGCTACCCTGTGGGGAACTCTGGAAACTTCAGTTTGACCCTTTGCTTTGGCTTTAAATCCTTAAAAATGGATTATTTCAGTACTTTATCTGAATAGCATAATGTGTAATACAAAAAAGTTTTGCTTAAAAAAATAGAATGATTTGTTTACAGTTCTCCTCAGTTTTTCCTTTTGTTCATATAGAAGTCAGAACCAGCCAGTCAACACATCCAGTCTGGTCTACTCGCTGGCTTTACAAAGACTGAAAGTGCAGTGAAGTCATTAATAACTCAGTAAAGTACACTGCTGCTGGTTGGATGGAGTGAAAACAGATGGAAATTAATTTTGACAATACTGTGCAAAAGTCACTCCCCATTTGGAAAAGAAATAGAAAATATATGATTTACTCATGAAAGTGGCCACTTTCATATATTGTTTTTGTATCCAAAACATACAAGTTTCATTTATATAATTTTTCTAGGGATCTTATATCTGTTTTCACTCTTCTATGCTTTTCATACAAGTTTCACACAGGACAGACACAAACTTTATAAGATTTATATATATCTTTTCCATACGGGTCATTGCATTTTGTTTTGCCAGGAAAACGGTGCAGTGATTTTCTGAAACATGCAAACATACATCAAAATATATGTTGTGTATGGGGCAAAAACAGAGCTTGTGTCATGGTCTGCGTGAGTGGCAGTATTTTTCCGCTGTGTGTCATGTCTCCTCCTCTGGGCGGAGTCGTCCTCGTCTCTCTCAGGAGCTGCACCTGGAGCTGATTAACTCTGTAGTATTTAAGTCCAGCCTTGACAGCTGCTCTATGCCTGAATCGCAACTAACTAGCTTGTGTCCATGGAACATTCTTGCCACCGGGCTACAGCGACTCTCGGCCCCGTCGTTGAGCTCGCCTGCTGCCATCACAGCCATCATTCGGGTACGGTCTACACTCTCACCTGTCTGCCTGCCCCCTTGTCTCACTACTGGACCTTCTCGTACTGGATCAATACTCACCCGGACCTTCACAAACTTACCTCCTCCTCTCACGTACCTCCACCTCTGGACAAGTAAGCCACAGAATTACTCTCATTGGATATCTCACTGCAATCCGTTTTACCTCCACTCTGATACACCTCTCCTCTCTTACAGTCTCCCTGACCACCGGCTCTCTCCCTCGTTTCTCGGTCTGATTAGATATTCCCTACGATGTCCAGCTCCAGCTTTGGGACCCCATTGTCATGCTCATGCTCTCAAACAGATAACTTGCAGTATTTATCTCTCCTACCATAATTGGTGTTTTAATTGTCATAGTGTTCTACCCACAATCATTTATATATTGCCATTTCTGTATGCATAGTTATAGTGTCTTTGCTCACGTCACAGCTTTTGCTCACTACTATTCTAGTAAAATTGTCTCTCTCCGCTATATATCGTCCCTGCCCCATTTGCTAGTATTCATTCGTGCCTTGGCATTTCACTCACCCCTGTATGCAGTCGCTGTACATGTGCACAAGCATTGTATTTATTCTTGTTCTTGTAATTAAACGTCCTTCACGTATCTTGAGTGTCTGTGTAGAATCTGTCTTTTGGGTCCATTCTGTGTCTGACGGCTTGTACTGTGACAGTTTGTGTAATTCTAACACACTCAAAACAATAATTGGCATGACCACCTTTATTCTTCAACACTGCCTGAAGTCTAAGATGAGCTTTATTGAAGTTCTTTAATAGTCCTCAGGAATAATTCCTTAATGACATCTGAAGCTCTTCTTTGGATGTTTGCTATCCCAAAGGGCTTTAACAGTTTTGAAGTTCAGGCTCTGGGGAGGCCAATCCATTACTAACAGTGTTAAACTACATTTTTCAATCTAGGTATGCTGTTATTGCATTTTGGATCATTTTTATGCTGAAAAGGGAAGCTGGTAAAGACCTGTTGCCACTGAATTTCAGTCCAGCTCTTGTATAATTTGGCATCCTTCAACCTTATTTCCCCGTTTCCCTTAAGAATCCTTAAAAATGGCTTCTTGACAGCCGCTCCTCCAGTGAGACCATTTCTGATGAGGCTTAAGCCAACAGCCAACAGATGGATCAACTGAAGGGCCAGCTGCATCTCAAGTCTTATGTCAGGTCTTTGCTGGATTTCTTATTTCTTAAAGGACATGACTGTGAGACACAGCATATGCTTTTTTTTTTTCTTTTTTTTTTAAAAAGCCTGTAATGTCTTCTTTTGTCCTCCACTTGTTCAGTTTCCATTTTGATGACATGCTGCCCCCCCTCCCCCCAAAAAAGAGCAAAAAACACATTATTTTGCATCAGTGTATTATACATTCCACGAAAGTCCCTAAATGTAAATTCTGGATTGTTTCTTCAATGAGTAGTTATGTACAGAGAAGAAATGTGTGGTGGCTTAAGACTTTTGCACACTACTGTAGCTATATATAAGTTGCTTTGGTCAGTTATTTCAGCTAGTTATTTTGTTTAACAGTGAAAATGGGCTGAAAGAGGTAATGTGAAAAACAATTTAAAATGATGGCAATGATGCTGAATATGTACTAAATGTGAAAAGTTATAATTAAGGGTTTAGTGATGTCCTCACTGGTTTAAAATCAGTTATCTATTTTCTGCTGGTTAGCTACAGCATGTTCAATGAAGTTGTAGCAGGCTTAGCCGGCTCTACCATTCCAGATGAGATGCATAATCTCTCCAGTGTGTTCCAGGTCTACCCTGTAGTCTTCTACAAATTAGACATGTCGGGAAATCTCTTCCCCGAGTGAATGGAGGGTACTCATGAGAACCACCTGAGTGATATCTAAACCCTTTCCCTATCTTAATGGTTTGGCCAATCATCATTTTATTTGGATTTTCCTTCTTTTAGGCCATTCCCAGCGCTTATGACCATAAGTCAAGGTTGGAATTTAAAGGTCTTCAGGCTCAGCTCATGCATTAGTTATGAACAACCGAACTCTCAAAATCCTGAACTTGACCTCTCTCATAGTAACTGTAAGGATGTGTGTTTATCAGATTTTATTGATGGCAAAAAAAACCAACTAACAATTATTTATATATATATGTATATATAAAAATATACAATGGCATACTATACTATTCATTTATTCTTATTCAAATGCAAATATCTTCTGATCAAAATATTTTGGCTCCTTCTCCAGGCAGTCAAATTTCATTTTAGCATGAGATCACCATATTTGAGTATAGTATATAGCTCTTCTTTATACACCCTTACATCCAGTATATAAAACCAGGAGAATGACCCAAACAAAAAACAAACTCAAAGTCTCAAATGTGAATCAACCAGAAAACTTTTACAAGACCAAGTTTGTAGCTAAAGTAGCAGAGTGAGGTTTTTTTTCATAATTAGTGCATACTAGTTCCAAAAACGAGTACTCTATAATAAAACACAGGCAAAAAAACAACAAAAAAAGCCGATCAAGAGTCCAGTAAACAGTCATAAAGGCACACAGCTCATTCAAATACAAGAATCTAAGAAATGTGATCTGATTTAACCTCATTTAAGTTTGAACACTATCCACTTTAAGGCTGTCTTTTTAGAAAGTGCTCCAATGCCTCCATCACAGCCGAGGTCTTTTTTTTAAATAAATATTTTCCCTCAAATGCCTGAGAATGTAACATGGATCTTTTTGTGTACAACAGGAACAGTGAATGTGCTGTAGACGTCCCCAGAAAGATGTCATTGAAGGGGCCAAGCTTTTTTGCACTGTATGGGTAGAGCTCCAAAACTTTGCTCTTAACACCTTGTATGAATTCATTCAGTCTCAGCACAGCACAGCACAGCACAGCTACCATGACAAGATTATAATTCTAACTTTGACCAACTTATTTGAAAATCACCTTCATGTATGTCACTTTTATTATTGGTGACTGATGTTTTCTTCCACAATAAAATTTTTTACTTGGGTTGTAGGATTAGCTTTCTGAGTAAACAGAAAACAGAGCTGAACAATGTTGACATCATGTGCTCTCCAGCATTATACAGTAACTCACTTTGCTGTTACCTTTCTTACCCGATGTCTACTCTTTCCAACTGTACCTGATCTGCAGCTGAGTTTGATTCTTTCAAATTAGCCAACCTATAGCTCAATACAGTATGCAACAATCACACTTACCAAACTTACTGCACTGAGATTTTGTATGCATTCACTGGGTTATGATCATGTTTTATTACAAAACATGTTGTCCATCCTCAACAATGAAAGCACTGAAAAAATGATTACATATTATCATAGGTCTGTGAATGAAAGATCAAAATAACAGTGATGGTGATTGCTATCTGCAACAAAACCAAATTATACATGTATATATCTACAATCTGTCACAAAAACACCAAGCACAGTTTTTTCAGTGACTTTGTTGGGGCTTGAAGCTCCGTCATTCACAGCAGCTCTGTATTGCCTCTTATGTAGCTAGCAGCGGATATTTTATAAGCCAAGATTTAAATGATGACTGAATATTTATTGCTGCAAGCTGTTTCCTTAATTATTATCAAATTGCATCATTTTTTTAATGTAAATAATAAAAGTAAGTATTATAGCAGTGGTGTGAACCTGGACTGTGGAAACAAGGTAGAAAGTTCAGACACAACGTCGCCTGCTTCCATGATACACAGAGAAGAACATCTAGCAAGGTTAAAGTTCCAGCAATATTTGCAGTATGGAAAAACAACTTTACACATATAATCGGCCAATTAAAATTTCAGATGAAAAAATAAATATTTTAAAAGTGAATCATTGAAATGACCTTCTGAAAGTAAACAAAGTGTTTATTTGCATTGCATTCGCTAATTTAAAGTTAATATTTAAATGTTTTAGTATTTGGGCTCTCAAGGTGCTCAGTGACCTGCAGTTTTAAAATTCTGAGTTCAGTAACATCTACTGGAAACTCTGAGGTGCTTCTCTGGAAATCTCTGTTTGGGCAAATGGCATTCTCTGTTCATTGTATGAACTTGTGGAATTCTTTGCCTTCGGAAATCAAGCTGGAGCCGGATTGAGATTGTTTTAAATTTAAACTGAAACAGCTTTTAAAGATTAACCAGTCATGGAGCCATGAATAATTTGCCGTTTTGTTATAATCTTATATCATACTGTAGTCTGTACCCTGTGGTATGTGTTATTCATTTTCTTGTGTTTTAAAGGCCCAACTAGAGACGGGGATTGCAAACTAGCTTAGGCTATAAATGCTGTTGTGTGTTGCCTGGCTCCTTCTTTTAATGTAAGTAACCAGTGGCATGTGGTGACTTTTATAGAAAGGCGAGCAGAGAGCCCCAGTCCACCCTTTATTCCACTGTACAACACGACAGACGGGACCAGATTAAATCATACAGTTTTCTGTTGCCCGTCTTTTACCCTATTCAGTTTCCTGCTGCACTTTACCTTTCTGCCAACTCTCTGCTCTCATGTGTAGGTTTAAGTATTGTAAATTATTATTACTTGTATAGTTGAACAAATATCTACTATATTACCAAAAAGTATTTAATATTAGCTGACAATGAGCAGTGGTGGAGGAATTTTAGAACTTTTACTTTAGAAAAAGAAGGAATAAAACACTAGGAGAACACGTCATTATACATTAAATTGTATTACAGGGAAATTGTATATAAACTATTAAAAGCACCAATAATTATTCTGCAGAAAAAATGTTTCTTGTCATTTATCTATATACCAATATTTATGAAGATGGCTGAGCTCATTTTCAAATCTCATCTACAATATTGTATCATATTTTCTTTTCTTTTTTTTTTTGCCTGTCCAGTTTGGTTCTTTTGCCATCAGAATTGTTGTCTAAAGGCAACAAAAGATGCCCAACGGATTTACTTTACCAAATGGACCATCCCAGCCTTGCCGTATTGGTCTATTTGATTCACCTTTGCTTTTATTGTTTATTTTATTTTCATTTGCTGAACACGGGACAGACTTGACTGGGAAAAAGAAAAAGAGCAGGGAAGCGGGACGGTGATATAGGGCAAAAACCAACAAAACAAACAGACATAAAATACATATATCAATCACCTGGATCACCTGTTGAGAAAGAAAAAAGAGAAAACAAGCAAAGAAAAAGAGAGCAATATAATAAACAACATCATCGCGATGATCTATATGAATATAACGGTAAATACTAAATATTAAATATTATTGTGCAGCACGTGAGAGCAAAAGCGCACAGTGTGTGCTTTGAGGTAGCAGCCAAAAGGGTGTAGTTTGTTTGTGTGAGCACCCGTGTGTACACCTGTGAGCGTGCTTGTATTTAAAAGGTTCCTTCATGTAATGATCTGCTAGAGGGTGTGGGGAGCCACAGCCCCGTCCTCCTGGGCATAAGGCAGGTATGGAGGAGATTAAGGCTCCAGACATCCAGAGGCCCCAAGAGCAAAGGAGACCAAGGAAGACCAACGGAGGGGCAACCGTGCCACTATCCTGGAAAGAGCTGAGGAGAGCCCCAGATGAGGGGTCGCCCAGCAACCGCGGAGCAGAAGCCGGTGGGGGGGGGGGTGTTGCAGTGACGTGCCCGTGAGCTCCGCCAGCAGCCAGCTGT